AAAAAAAAAAAAAAAAAAAAAAAAAAAAAAAAAAAAAAAAAAAAAAAAAGATGGGATTAAAGGACAGGAACAGGAGGAGAGAAGGGTGTTGAGACCCCCAGGCTCACCCCCAGGTCTGCTGTGTAGTTGGAGCTGGTCACAAAGGTCACGGGCCGGGAGTGGTCCAAGGCTTTGGTGTGAGCAATCACCGTCCTGTCCATGGAGGGCAGAAGACACAGGCTCCATCAGTCCGGGAAAGGCTCTCAGACACCCACCTCCCGCTCTCCCCCTCCTGTCTCCTCCAGCTGAAGCAAGTAAGTCTTTTAGGTAAGCCAACATGTCTCTCCAATCTTTGATAGCATTCCCCAATATTGCTTTCTTCCTCCCCGAATCCTACCCCCGGGCTGGACGCTGCCATGCTTGGCTCCAAATCCCTGAAAAAGCTCCCAAAAGTAGGGATGGATGGGGTGCAGATCGGCTTAGGACTGATATTAATGTAGCGAATACACAGGGCATGCGTGCTTGGCACACATGCGTCTATGCTGGGTCTCTGCAGTGGCGTCCACAGCTAAGTGCACAGCTTCAAGGAGCAGTGGGCCGGAGACACACGCACAGGAAGGTATTACAGCTCACGTGACAGGTGGTGGCAGGAATTAAGCAAGGGAAGCCCCGGGCTCTAGGAGACCAACAGGGGACAGAATTTACATTGGAGAGTTGGGGACAGCCTCTCAGAAGAAATGGTGTTTATGTGGAGTTGAGTTGACTGAGGCACCAGTCTGTGGCCAGGGTTTCCAAAGCCTGCCGGAGGCCTCCCAGCCAGGTAAAAAAAGCCTTTCCTCTCCTCCCCACTCACAGACATTTTTCTGTGCCCCACACTCTCTCCCCATCCTTGCTCTTCTCATTCAAAGGCTCCATGTCTGAGCCAGCCTGGTGGTGCACTGCTACAGTGCGCCGCTTGGGAGCACGGCGGCGCTCGCGCCGAGGGTTCGGATCCCACATACAGACCGGCCGCTCACTGGCTGAACAAGGTGTGGGCGCAACACCAAGGGTTGCGATCCCGTTGCCGGTCACAAAAAAAGACAAAAAAAAAAAAATGCTCCGTGTCTTCTGCAAGACAGAATGGACCTCTTGGCCTCAAGTTCCAAGCCCACACTCGCAGACAAGGCTGCCTGCGTACTCCAACCGTGGTCTGCCCTGTCCCTGCTGCCCAGAAACGTGTCTCCCTGGCTCCAAAAAGGCTCATCTGGAAGGCTCAGGCACCCGTTCCTGGGAGCCTGTATAGGGTGGGCATCCCTAATCCAAAAATCCAAAATCCTCCAAAATCTGAAACTGTTGAGTGCCAACACGATGCTCAAAGGAGCATTTAAGATTTCGGATTTTCAGATGAGGGAAGCTCAACCAGTTAAGTATTCTGCAAACATTCCAAAATCTGAAAAAATCCAAAATCTGAAATGTTTTTGGTCCCACCTATTTTGGATAAGGGTTACTCAGCCTGTCCTATACACCTTCCCAGCAAAACATCTCTCCACCCACCCTGGTTCAACATGCCCCGAGCCGTGAACCACAAGCGGCCGCGCATGCCCACAGCTATCCCTTGTGCAGGCTGGTGCCCCTCTCAGAGTCTCCACCTCTATGGGTCGCTCAGCTCAAAGCTCTCCGTGAAAGCGGGATGCAGCATCTGCCCAAGCAGTGTTCCCATGGCCTCTGCTGCCTCTTACAGCCCATGAGATCACACGCTTCCGAAGGCCATGTCACACCATGCCACTCTAGGAAAGAGGAGGAACTCCCGGGGCCGGCCTCCCCCCGTGACAGTGGGCCCCCCACTGTAGGAGACAGCCTGAGCAGTGTGATGACCAGGGGCCAGGAGCTGTTAGCACTTAGTGACTGGGACTATGTACTTTAGAGGACCTGGTCCTGTCCAACAATATAACTTGAGACTATTTAGAAATATACATGTCATTGAGAAAACTGTTTACAATCACGTGTCTAGATATACCAGCTTTATAAAGCCTAACTCCACTTTACAGGTGAACCCAAAGCAACACAAAAAGGGGTTTTTTTTACTGGGTTTTTTTTTTTTTATTTGGTGGCTGGCCAGTACAGAGATCTGAACCCATAACCTTGGTGGTGTTATAAGGCTGCGCTCTAACCAGCTGAGCTAACCAGACAGCCTTTTGTTCAGTTTTACTACAGACTAAATTTCCCAAGAATGCAGATACCATCAAAATTGAGAGAAGGTTCCATGTGGTTTAATTTGGTATGCCATTTAGCACTGAAGGCCGCGCCACTCAGGGTATCAGAGTCACCAGTGCAGGGTCCATCACTCTACTTTCGTGACTGCACGTCCAGGGCGATGCTGCCTTTGGTGCAAGTCTCTGACCCCTTTACCAGGTCTTCAGGGACAGCAGACCCATGCATCCATGTGTTATTCTATAAATGACTCTCCTTTACGTCACAGTGAGGCCACATCACTAATTTTTTTTCGTATACTTTGAAGCTATGTATATAAACAGATTAACTCTGTGTTTCATTTGAGGTGTGAGAAGGGGATAGTGGGTCCCACTGGGTTGAATCACAGTTTGGGTGGTGGGACATTTGGTCCCAACCTGGGCTGGGAGGGGATACTGATGCTCTCAGCACCACCCCCACCCCTGCAGCTAAGGCCACCAGAGCTCTCTCACAGCTGCTGCTAAGTCTCAGCCAGGCCCAGGGCTGCGGTCTCACCCCTGGCTGGCCCAGGGGAGGCAGGAGGCACTCACTTGAAGTAGTAACCAGCAGGTTTCAGGTAGGAAGTAGGCTCGTTGGCCACTGACCACATCACGACCGCTGGGTGGTTCTTGTCCCTGCGCACCAGCTCCTCCATCACCTCCAGGTGGTGCTGCAGAGACGTGTTGCCAAAGCTCTGGCTGTGGGCGGAAGGAAGGGCAGCATGTCACAGCCCGCCACGCTGCAGGCTGAGCCGTGTGTGTGGCAGGCACTCACAGCAGCACGATGCCCACGCCGGGACACTCATCGATGACCACGATCCCGTACTGGTCGCAGAGCTGCATCACCTCCTCCGCATAGGGGTAGTGGCTGGTGCGGAAGGAGTTGGCACCGAGCCAGCGGAGCAGGTTGAAGTCCTTCACCAGCAGTGGCCAGTCAAAGCCCTTCCCTCGGATCTAGGGAACAGCAGAGCAGAGTGACCCCTGCCCCATACCTGTCAAAGATGCACTTCCTTCTGGAGCCAGACCCTTGGAGAGTCACGGTGACAGTCCTCTATCCAGCTCAAGCACATCTGCCTTCATGATGTGGCTTTCAGCGGTTTGCTTAACTTCTCTGAGCTGCCCTCACTTGCTTCAGGGCACACAGGTAAGGTGAAAGGGGATGACAGTGACCAGAAACGGCCTCCACAGGAACCCAGGAGCCCCGACTCACATCTGCATCCTCATGCTTGTTGACCCCATGGAAATAAAAAGGTTTCCCATTGATGAGGAACTGGTTCTCTGTGACGGCCACAGTGCGAATCCCGACGGGGAGAGTGTAGAAGTCAGACATAGGCCCTGCTCCCGTCTGTGCAGTCAGCCTCACCTGTGACAGCCAAGCAGCAGGCATGAGCCCCTCGTGGCCTGAGTCCCCAGCCCGCCCCCAGCAGGAAGGGCCCCGGGGAACCACAGCAGCCCCTCTGTGGCTGCAAGCAGAGAAGAAACTAGAGGGAGGCTCTCCCATTAGCAAGTAGGAACCTGCCCGGGGGCCGGCTCTTCAAATTGGGCCCTCCCCACCAAGGGTCAAAAAATTAAGGAAGTTCAGAGGACCGTGCCTGTGCTCCCACCTGTCCTGGGCCCCTGCTGAGCGACACACCTCCCTCAGCCCCAGTCCTAAGCCACCATTACCTCCAATGAGTACAGGTAGGCGGGGTGCTCGTGCATCAGGTACGGCCACCAGAGGTGGGCGCTGGGCACCTGCAGCTGGCCCTGGCCCCCCGTCCCCTGGGCCACAACTTTGCCTTCTGCATCCAGAAGACGCACTTCCAGCTCGAAGTGTTCACTGCCCTGGATGAAAACCTGGTAATTCACCAGACCTGCAGGAAACGAGAGAGATCAGGGCTGAGGGAGGGATGTGCCCTGTAGCCACCACTCCGAGGCCACCTGAGCCCCAAGACCCCAGCCAACAACAGTTTATTTACTGAACTCAGTGTGCAGAGGGGGGAGATTAGTGAGAGCGGCACAGTGGGGGAAGGACAGGGGATTCCAGGCACGAGCCCACTTCTCACAGGGCCTCATCTCCTGCGGTGAGGTGAACCACAGGGCTGATTTCTGAAGACCCTGCCAGCTCCGACAGTCTGGATTTTAGCTTCTTGGATGGATGGGAACCCATGAGGGTTAAGATATGCTGGAGAGCCTTTTTCCGGAGGGGTCTTTCCAAACAGGGAGCAGAGCCACTCTGGGCCCGGCTGAAAGCAGATCCTGCCAGGAGCCCTCACCAGTGCTCTGGTCAACACCAGTTGTTACAGTGATGTCATCAATGTAGGCGGTGGGCGTGGTGTAGAGAAGCACTGGCCGATGCAGGCCCGCGTAGTTGAAGAAATCAAAGTTTATGTTCTGGACAAAGTAACCTTTGGGATACCTAGGGTGGGAGGACAGTGGCCAGCTGGAGCCTTGTCCTGGGTCCTTTGACCTCAGCTCACAAATCTCCCTGGCCTCCCCAGATCCAGAGCCTCAACTCTGCTAGGGCCACCCTGTCCCTAGCAGGAAGCCCACCGAGCATGGAGGGGAGTGAGGAGAAGGGTCAGGATGCTGCTCACTTGGAAGTATCGGTCTTGTAGAGGATGGTCCCTGGCGGCAGGGTGTGGGGGGTGAGTGTGTTGTTGATGGCGATGGTAATGCGGCAGGAGGACAGGGGCCCACTCTGGACTAGCTTGCTGATGTCAGCCTCGAAGGGGAGGTGGCCCCCTTCGTGCTCTGCCACGTGGACCCCATTCACCCACTGCAAACACAGGGAGATTATGGGGCAGGGGCAGCAGGCCAGGGCATCAGGAAGGGCCCTGCTGCCTCAGGCACTCCCTCAGGTAAGGTGCCAGGTGCCTCCCCAGGCTGACCGGAGAAACAGGGCTCCAGAGGGGCGCATGAGGCAGCCCCTCCCCCACCCAGGGCACAGATCCCCGCCCGTCCCACCCGGGGAGCAGCCGCATGCACGCTCTGCAGCTGCCTCCCTGTCCCAGCTGCTCGCGGCACCGACCACAATGGCATAGTAGTGGGCGCTGCCGATCCTCAGCACCACCCTGGTGCCCAGGTCCTGGGTCCACCGCTGTGGCAGGGCCGCCTCCCGCTCGTACCACACCCAGCCGATAAAGTTGCGCAGCTGTCCGTCCTGGCTCACGTCGTTGAAGCTGGATGGGACCGGCATGTCCAGGATGGGGCCGGACTGGGGAAAGAAGAAACAGGGTCAGGTGCAGACCCCCTAGGAATCTAGGACCAGTGGCCTGTACAGCCGCACCCCAGCGTCTAGCACAAGCCCCGACACATAGCGGGGACTCTATAAATACTGGTTCAGTGGGTGCTGCCAGGAAAGTTTGTGCCCGAGGGCTGGTGGGGCCAGAAGTACTTCCTCAGGCAAGATGGCACCAGTCTCCATGCAAAGGCGTGAGTCCAGGGCCACCACCCAGCCTGAGGCAAGACGGACTGACTCTGACTAAGAGGCGGATGGGGAGAAGGGCTGCGGGGCAGGCCCTGCAGAGATAACGGGCAGGCGCGGGCCCAGGAGGGGTGCGGGGGGCCTGCCCGACCCCGCTTCTCTGCCGCCGCTCTGGGACCCAGCCGGTTGCGTGCCAAGTCGCGTGACCCAGCCCAGCATCGGGGCCCCGGGAGCTCAGGCCCGGGCACCGCGGCCCGAGAAGCCCCAGCCGTCCCCTTCCCCCTCTCCCGCCCCCGAGCGCGCACCTCCCGCAGCGGCCGCCGGTACCAC